CCCTCATTAATGGGCCCGTTACGAGCCCAGCACTCTGGAAAATGCTTTTTTTGGCCTTTGTTTCAAGCTTGTGATGTTGCCATCGGCTCACTTTTAACAGCCAGAGCTCAAATCCTAATGCTTTTAAAAGCTGGGGAACTCAACAGGCTCAAAAAAAAAATTTTTTATTTTATTTTTTTGGGGGTGGGAAGAAATTTATTGAAGTCAATTCAGATCACTCTCCTTTCTTCCCTGCACCTGAAACATTCCTGCTCAAGATACCTAATATGAGAAATATTTGGCCGTTTCCCGCGTTATTTCGGATACCCTTAGGGGCGTGAGTATGTTCTTCCAACATAAACGTAAGGAAATGTAGGGGGGATTTTTTCCCCCCCAAATAAGAAGGGGCAGAAAAACCTAAAAAAGAAAATAGAATAGAATAACAAGAGTTGGAAGGGATCTTGGAGGTCTTCTAATCCAACCCCCTGCTTAAGCAGGAAACCCTATAACATTTCAGACAAATGGTTATCCAATCTCTTCTTCAAAACTTCCAGTGTTGGAGCATTTACAACTTCTGGAGGCAAGTTGTTCCACTGGTTAATTGTTCTCACTGTCAGGAAATTTCTCCTTAATTCCAGGTTGCTTCTCTCCTTGATTAGTTTCCACCCATTGCTTCTTGTCCTGCCTTCTGGTGCTTTGGAGAATAGCTTGACTCCCTCTTCTTTGGGGCAGCCCCTGAGATATTGGAAGACTGCTATCATGTCTCTCCTAGTCTTTCTTTTCATTAAACTAGACCAGGGGTCAGCAACCTGGAGCCAGCTCTGGAGCCGCATGTGGCTCTTTCACCCCTCTGCTGCGGCTCCCTATCACTCAAAATATGCGTCACAACCACCAATGTGCGACACCCGCCAGCGTGCAATTTATTGAGCTTTTCAACCCCCGATAGGCCAACCATCGATAAATCCAAGAAAAGAAAAGTTTCAAAAGAAAACAAAACGTTTAATTCAACTACATATGCTAATTTTGTGGCCGCTCAAGAAATAATCAGGCACGGGAAGGGTTTTGTGGCTCCCGGTGTTTTCTTTTCTGTGGGAAACGGGTCCAAATGGCTCTTTGAGTGTTTAAGGTTGCAGACCCGTGACCGAGAGTCTAGCAGTGTTTTCCATCCATTGCTTCTTGTCCTGTTTTCAGAATAGAACAGAACAAAATAAAAGAGTTGGAAGGGACCTTGGAGGTCTTCTAGTCCAACCCCCTGCTCAAGCAGGAGACCCTACGCCATTTCAGCCCAATCTCTTCTTAAAAACCTTAAGAACAACTTCTGGAGGCAAGTCCTTCCACTGATTAATTGGAACAAAATTCCTGCTTAGTTCTAGGTTGCTTTTCTCCTTGATTAGTTTCCATCTGCTGCTTCTTGTGCTGCCTTCAAATGGTTTAGAGAATAGCTTGACTCCCTCTTCTTTGGGGCAGCCCCTGAGATATTGGAAGACTGCTATCATGTCTCCCCTAATCCTTCTTTTCATTAAACTAGACATGCCCAGTTCCAGCAACCGTTCTTCATATGTTTTAGCCTCCAGTCCCCTAATCCTCTTTGTTGCTCTTCTCTGCACTCTTTCTAGAGTCTCAACATCTTTTTTACATCGTGGCGACCAAAATTGAATGCAGTACTTCAGATGTGATCTTACTAAGGCTTTATAGAGTGGTATTAGTACCTCACATGATGTTGTTTGAATCCCTCTATTAATGCAATTTAGGATTGCTTTGGCTTTTTTGGTTGAAAGATTTGTGAGTGTTCTTGGTAGTTGCTTGAGTGCTGTTAGCTTGTTTATCCGAGAAAATAATAATTAACAATATCCCAGTCAAGGAGCTACCAAACTCAGACAAACAAGGTAACAATGAATAACACACTAACCAAAGAACCACCAAGAAGAAACAACACCTCTATCAACACTGATAGGGCAAGTCACTTGTATACAAATAGAGAGCAAACCCCATTCCCTTGTAGCACTGATGATGTTAACTAGCTGGATAATGAAACGTCCGCAAGGAAACAAGCTCAGAGAGCACCAAAGACCTCACAGCTCAACCTTGAGCTACAAACATTCTCCTCTTTCGGTGCCAAAATATTTTGTATTTCACGACACAACTGAAAATCCCCCACTAGCACCCAGAATTTTGGTTTGCAATACAGGTAGTCCTTGACTTACAACAATTGAGCCCAAAATTTCTGTTGCTAAGTGAAACATTTGTTAAGTGAGTTTATGGCCTTTTTTTTTTTTTGCCAAAGTTTTTTTTTTTTTTTTTTAATTTGATTTATATGCCGCCCTTTTCCGGAGACTCAGGGCGGCTTACAATGCATTAAGCAATAGCCTTCATACTTTTGTATATTTATACAAAGTCAGCTTATTGCCCCCACAAACTGGGTCCTCATTTAACCTACCTTAGAAAGGATGGAAGGCTGAGTCAACCATGAGCCTTGGAGAGATTCGAACCAGCAGTAAATTGCAGGCAGCTGTGTTAATAACAGGGTGCTTTAAACCACTGTAGTACCAAGGCTCTACCAAGTTGCTAAGTGAATCACTGCAATTAAGTTAGCAAGACGGTTATTAAGCAAATCTGGTTTCCCCATTGACTTTGCTTGTCAGAAGGTTTCAAAAGGTGATCGCTTGACTGCCACCGTCATAAACACGAGTCAGTTGCCCAACATCTGAATTTTGACGACAATGACCATGGGGATGCTGCAATGGTCATTAAGCGTGAAAAATGGTCATAAATCACTTTTTTCAGTGCTGTTGTTAACTTCGAATGGTCACTAAATGAACTGTTGTATATTGAGGACTACCTGTATTCCTAAACCAGTGTTTCTCAACCTTGGTAGCTTGAAGATGGGTGGACTTCAACTCCCAGAATCCCCCAGCCAGTCCACCCATCTTCAAGCTTCCAAGGTTGAGAAACACTGTCCTAAACTGTTTAAAAAAATGATCAAGGACAGAAAACTAAAAAGAATAACATTGTTTGTGGTGGAAGAGAAAAAAAGAGAGAGGATGCCACAGGGTTACAACGGGGTGGTTATAAACCTCACCGAAAAATGCAACACGCAGACAATATTTATGCTAAAACCAAGATGGAGAAAAACGTAAGTTTTGGTTCCTCGGCAAGGAACTAACAAAGAAAGTTCACCAACGTCCCAAGAATGCTTTGTAAGTTCTCTTTTCTCCAATTCCAATTTAATTTAGAACGAAACCGAGGGGGGTTAATTCTCATGGTTTTTGTGGGCCCCAATTGACGCAGCCGGGATGAAAAATTTGGTCGCTCACCATCTCCCTTGCACGTCATTTATTTTTGCAGAAATGCTTACGGTTGTATACTTAACGCTCTGGCCCTTGTCCAAATCAGCGTTCGGGGGGAAGAGTCGCCACTAAGAACGGTAGAAGTTTCCCCAATAATAAACGAAGGAATAATAATATCTCGGCGTTGGAGTCTATCAGTACCATGCAAAGTTCCCATCGCTGAAGATCCCTGAGATGTAAAACGATTTAAGACTCCCCCCCACCCCCAATCTTGACTTGGGATAGGAGACATATTGAATGAATCATGCCAAGATGCAGGCACCAGGCAGGATGTATTTGAAAAGCAGACAGCTCGGCGACAGGCATCTTAATGACCCCTTATCTTAATCTTGTTTAAAAGCACCTCAGGTTTTTCTGAGTAATCTTTTCACTTTATAATATTCTCCTTTATGGGGTATGTGTGCTTCTTTGGGTTGGTACCCATTGGAGTAAAATGTTTTTTTTATCACTCACGTTAATTTATACCGCCGTTCCCGACAGAAAGGCGTGCGAGACTTTGGGATCAGAGGCCATTTTTTAAAAAATTGGTCACAGTTAAAGCATTGATAGGCTGGCTTAAATCGGGAGACTGAATCAATCTTTGGATGGCAACGGATATACAAAAGGCCACCCTTTGAAGGAGTAGTAAAAGTGAAGAGGATAAAATGGCTGATTTGGAGCAGCCCTTCCTCCCTTTTGGGAAAAAGAAAGGAAGTTGATGTATATATCCATTTAGGCATAGACAAACAGACCTTTAAGTTTTTAATGAATAGAATAGAATAGGATAGGATAGGGTAAGAGTCATTGAGGCGCAGTGGTTAGAATGCAGTATTGCAGGCTATTTCTGCTGACTGCTGACTGCCAGCAGTTCGTCAGTTCGATTCTCACCAGGTTTAAGGTTGACTCAGCCTTCCGTCCTTCTGAGGTCGATAAAATGAGGACCCAGATTGTTGGGGGCAAAAGGCTGACTCTGTAAACTGCATGGAGAGGGCTGTAAAGCCCTGTGAAGGGAAGGGGAGGGGAAGGGAGGAGAGGAGAGGAGAGGAGAGGAGAGGAGAAGAAAAGAGAAGAGAAGAGAAGAGAAGAGAAAAGAAAAGAAAAGAAAAGAAAAGAAAAGAAAAGAAAAGAAAAGAAAAGAAAAGAAGAGAAGAGAAGAGAAGTTAGAAGGGAGCTTGGAGGTCTTCTAGTCCAACCCCCTGCTCAGGCAGGAAACCCTATACCATTTCAGACAAATGGTTGTCCAATCTCTTCTTCGAAACTTTCATTGTTGGAGCATTTACAACTTCTGGAGGCAAGTTGTTCCACTGATTAATTGTTCTAACTATCAGGAAGTTTCTCCTTAGTTCTAAGTTGCTTCTCTCCTTGATGAGTTTCCGCCCATTGCTTCTTGTCCTGCCTTCAGGTGCTTTGGAGGATAGCTTGGCTCCCTCATCTTTGGGGCAGCCCCTGAGATATTGGAATATACTGCTATCATGTCTCCCCTAATGCTTCTTTCCATTAAACTAAACACACTCAATTCCAGCAACCATTCTTCATATATTTTAGCCTCCAGTTCCCTAATCATGTTTGTGCAATGGTACCTCGGTACTCATCGTTAATTAGTTCCGGGAGGTGCGATAGGTTTGACAGAAACAAGAAAAGTCAAACACACACACACACACACACACCTCTATGGAAAAGTGTGTTGGGCTTTACCTTGTAAGAGGGCAAAAAGCACAAAACCCCACGTCGCACCGTCTGACAGACTGATAGCAGGAGCTCACCGACTTCATCTTGAAACTCAAAGGTTTCTGTGTGCTGAAAAGTTGCTCGTAACTGCCTGTGTTTTGGGCCGGCTCCAATGGTACCAACCCAGACCTGTTGGGATATTGAATTGGGCATTGTTAAGCAAGTTTATTCAGGAATATAATTTCCAAGATGAACAAAACAGCAAAGAAAACAGGATTTAAAAGGAGATGGTGCACCTCATCCAATAAAGTACAGTAGACTTTAAGGACTACAGTTTAAAGGACTACAGTAGATAGTCCTTGACTTACAACGAGTGGTGCAGTAGCCTAGAGGTGGAGCTGAGAATATATCTGCTGAAAAAAAAACTCTGCATTGGCGACAGGAAGGGCATCCGGCCAGTAAACGCTCCATTCAGCTGCCCAGACTCCACCCTGCAAGGGATTATGGGGTCGTTAAAAGAGGATGATGATGAAAAGAGGCCTTGACTTACAACAGTTTATTAGTGACTGTTCGAAATTACAACAGCACTGAAATAAAATGTCCATTTTTCACACTTACGACCATTGCATTATCTCCTGGCAACTGGCTTGTATTTACGACGTTGGCTTGTGGACGTTTGGCGACCACAAGCAAAGTCAATGGGGAAGCAGGATTCCCTTAACAAATGTTTAACTATCTTAACAACTGCAGTGATTCCCTTAACAACGGTGGCAAGAAAGGACGTAAAACGGGACAAAGCTCCCTGAACCAATGTTTCACTTAGCAACAAAATGTGGGGGCTCAATTGTGGTCGTAAGTCGAGGACTATCTGTACCCTGTATTGGAAATACAGGTAGCCCTCGACTTACGACCATTAACTGCGCCCGGAATTACAATTGTAAAGTCATGCCGGTCATTAAGTGGGTCACCATGTGACATTGCTGATTTTTATGTTCTTTTTTTTTTTTTTTTTGCAATGGCCATTAAGCAAGCACCTTGTCTGCAAAGGGCAATTTTTTTTGCTGGAAATCAGAAGGAAGGGCCAATTTCTGACAAAAAATGCGGGACATTGCAAACAGCCGTAAATGCAACCTTGTTGTTGAGTACCTTAAAATGTGATCACGTGACCACGGGGAGAGGGGAGGGGGGAGAGGAGGCCATCAGAACTTTAAATCCAGATTGTAAGCAGCCTGTCCATATAATTTTGAGCAGTCACTAAACAACCTGTTGTTAAGTTGTACAGTACTTTAAAGAAAAAAAAAAAAGATCTTAACATCCAAGTCTTCCTACCATCCTTAACATCAGAGGGAATCAGCTGCTGAGCTTACCTGTGAATTTCTAATGACATGGTTCGCTTCAAGCTGAATGGAAAAGTTCACCCCGAGCTCAGATGAAAAGGAATCCATGGGAGAAAGCGTTCCCGAGGTTAAAACGATGGATCGGACCACGCTGCTCAAATCGGAAAAGGCCTACAGAGAATAAATGAGAGAAAAACATTTTAAGCGTTTGCGGCTTTCATCCTTAAATCCCCAAAATGTGGCTACAGGCAGTCCTCAACTTGTTAAACAAGTTGCTTTTTCAGGAGGCAACTGGACTTTCTTGTTTTTTCTCCTGAAGACGTTTCACTTCTCATCCAAGAAGCTTCTTCAGCTCTGACTGGATGGTGGGGAATGGAAGGATTTATATTCCTTGCAGACAGCTTGGTCATCTGCATCCTTTTTAGAGTCGTTGAAGACACTTGGGAGTCCCAAAAGTGCTTTTTCAAGAGGCAACAGGACTTTCTGGTTTTACTTTGAAGACGTTTCGCTTCTCATCCAAGAAGCTTCTTCAACTCTGACAGTCAAGAATTGAAGAAACTTCTTGAATGAGAAGCGAAACGTCTTCAAAAGAAAAAACAAGAAAGTCCAGTTGCCTCCTGAAAAAGAGCACCTTTGGGACAACCACGACCTGGTTGACTGAGAATCTCTACAGACTTTAAGCAAGGCAGTTGTTAAGTGAGTCACACCTAATTTTACAACCTGTTTTGCCATGGCTGTTAAGCAAATCACTTGCATTTGTTAAGTTAATAACATAGAAGAAAAGTGGCTTGAGCGTCTGGAACGCTGGGCAGGAGGTTAGCAAGCCCGCATTTGAGACCCGAGAGCTGCTATGAGGCAGGGTTGAGCTCCCGTCTGTCACTCCAGCTCCTGCCGGGAACATGAAAGGAGTCCCCAAATGGGTGTCCCCAGAGCAACGGTGATGTCACTGGCTAAACCTTTCAACCCGTGTGCAAAAAACCCAAACAAACAAGAAAAAACCCAGTTAATAGTATGGTTGTTAAGCAAATTTGGCTTCCCCCACTAACTTTGCTTGTTGGAAGCCAACTGGGAAGGCTACCATGGTGATCACATGACCCCGGGATGCTGCAACTGTCTTAAGTTCATGCCAGTTGCCCAGTGCCTGAATTTTGATCACGTGATCATGGGGATGCTGCAACATTCGTGTGAAAGAGTCCCTTGTTTCAGCCATTGTAACTTTGAATGGTCACTAAACAAATGGCTGTAAGTTGAGGACTACCTATAGGCAACTGCTGAGTGGGGTTAAGGGTTTGGGGGAGATGGGAGGGACAACCTGATTGGTGGGAGGGATCTTGGAGGTCTTCTAGTCCAACCCCCTGCTCAAGCAGGAGACCTTATACCGTTTCATACAAGTGACTGTCCAGCCTCTTCTTAAAAACTTCCAGTGTTGGAGCACCCACAACTTCTGGTGGCAAGCTGTTCCACCGATTAATTGTCAGGAAATTTCTCCTTAATTCTAGGTTGCTTCTCTCCTTGATGAGTTTCCACCCATTGCTTCTTGTCCTGCCCTCAGGTGCTTTGGAGAATAGGTTGACTCCCTCTTCTTTGTGGCAGCCCCTGAGATATTGGAACACTGCTATCATCTCTCCCCTAGTCCTTCTTTTCTCTAGACTAGCCAAACCCAAATCCTGCAACCGTTCTTCATACTATGTTTTAGTCTCCAGGCCTTTAATCATCTTTTGACTCATCAATTCAAAAGATGAATTCAATTCAATTCAAATAGTTGCCAAGCATCCAAATTTTGATCATGTGACCATGAGGATGCTGTAACAGTAGTAAGTGGGAAAAACAATCATAAGTCGCATTTTTAGCGCATTTTAATGGTTATATGTCAAGGACTAGCTCTATTCTCATTTGATATTATGCTAGCAAAGACTAATGTGGCCCTATTCAGCCAATCCAGAAATATTCGAAGCCAAGAGTTCCTGCTGGGTTTATTTCGTTTGTCCCTAAAAGCATAGATATTATCACCACATCCAACCAGCTTACCACAGCTGGATTCAAGCACCAGAAGTTGAGGCTGTTTACGGCTATTTTGTGTCGCAATTTTTTCCGGGGACGGGCCAAGAAACCGTTCTTATCCAGAGTGTCAGGTGGATTTTCATTCATCCAGGTGAAGGTTTGCTGAAGGGCAATTCGGTAATCATCTGCAAACCTAAGGAAAAACAAACTGAAAATGTAGTTAAATCCCCGAAATATCTGTGATTATGAGGACCGCAATTGGTACATTGGAGAAAAAAAGAATGGCAGGGAGAGCCTTACTGACCTGTGATTTTCTTTGAACAGACACTGGGTGACCATAAATAGACCTTTGAGGATAATCTGAGTTGAAGGACTTATAACTGGGACAGAAACCAGTTTTTCTGACCCAGAGAACTTTTCTTCCTTTTCGAGCACAGCATGAAGATGTTTCTAGAAAAGAGCAAAACAGTTGCCACAAAGAAGAGGGAGTCAATCTATTCTCCAAAGCACCTGAAGGCAGAACAAGAAGCAACAGATGGAAACTAATCAAGGAGGGAAGCAACCTAGAACCAAGGAGGAATTTCCTGACAGTTAGAACAATTAATTGGTGGAACTACTTGCCTCCAGAAGTTGTGGGTGCTCCAACACTGGACAGGGGGCTTGGCTAGAAGCCCTTCAAGGTACCTTCCAACTGTTTATTCTGTTCTATTCTATTCTATTCTATTCTATTCTATTCTATTCTATTCTATTCTATTCTATTCTATTCTATTCTATTCTATTCCATTCCATTCCATTCCATTCCATTCCATTCCATTCCATTCCATTCCATTCTATATTTTCTATATTCTATTCCATTCCATTCTTTGTATTGTATTGTATTCCATTCCATATTTTGTATTCTATTGTATTCTACTGCATTGCATTGCATTACATTGCGTATTGTATTGTATTCTTTTCTATTCTATATTTTCTATATTCTATTCCATTCCATTGTTTGTATTGTATTGTATTCCATTGTATTGTATTCTATTGTATTGTATTCCATTGCATTGCATATTGTATTGTATTGTATTGTATTGTATTGTATTGTATTGTATTGTATTGTATTGTATTGTACTCCATTCCATTCCATTCTATTCTTTCTAAGTTAAACAGGGACTTTAAAGAACCCACATATTTATTCCATGGGGATGGGATTTCTGTTTCCACTGTATTCAAAATAACAAGAATCGCACAATTGTGCATTAAGAAAAGAAGTGTTTTGGTCCTCCAAAGCTTTTGAAGAACACTCCCACCAACACTGAGAGGGCTGGTTGCTAGTATATCAGCAGAGAGTAACCCTATTCTCTTCTAGCAATGATGTCGCCTAGTTGGGTAATGAAATCTACAGGAAAACAAGCAAGCTCAAAGAGCATCAAGGACCCCACAGTTCAACCCTACAATTAGGAGACTCCAATTCAAGTCCACCTTAGCCATGAAAGTTAGCTGGGTGCCTTTGGGCCAGTCTCTCTCTCTCTCTCTCAGCCCAACTCACCTCACAGGGTTGTTGTTTTGGGGGAAATAGAAGGAGGAAGGAGTATTTGTATGTTCACCGCCTTGAGTTATTTGTAAAAAATAAAAATGGCGGGATACAAATAAGATAAATAAACAAAATAAACCCTGAGCTACAAATATTCACTTCTATTAGTATTTAATTAATGAATCAATTATTAGGTGACTACAAACTCCAAACAACATAAAAACATGGGGTGAGTTTGTTTTAGCCAGATGAATGTTAAAGCAGGTAGTCCTCGGCTTGCAACCGCAATTGAGCCCCAAATTTCTGTTGTTAAGTGAGACATTTGTTAATTTAAGTTTTCTTTTTTGCCACAGTTAAGTGAATCACTGCAGTTATTTATTTATTTATTTATTTATTATTTATTTATTTATTTATTTATTTATTTGTCATATTTCTATGCCGCCCGCTCTCCGAGGACTCTGGGCGGCTTACACCAAAGACAGTATACTAAATAGCATATTGCCCCCTAACAATCTGGGTCCTCATTTTACCCACCTCGGAAGGATGGAAGGCTGAGTCAACCTTGAGCCGGTGAGATTTGATCCGCTTATCTGCTGAACTAGCAGTCAGCTGAAGTAGCTGCAGTTACTACACTCTAACCATTGCGCCACCTCGGCTCTTGATTAAGTTGATAAGTTAATAACCTGGTTGCTAAGCGAATCAGGCTTCCCCTTTGACTTTGCTTGTCAGAAGGTCGCAAAAGGTGATCACATGACCCTGGGACACAGCAACTGTCATAAGTACATGCCGGTGGCCAAGCATCTGAATTTTGATCACATGATCACAGGGGTGCTACAAAGGTCATAACTGTCAGCCCCAGACCGCCAGATGACTCGGGGTCACCATTTGGGCGAGGGAGGAGTGGACAACTAGGACACGCGCAGCCGGAATGCGCGCGCACAGGCATCAATAGCCACGCCGCCTGCCACCCTGAAGGTGAGGAGCCACCACCACCTGAGACGTCGCTCCTGCCTCCACGTGGCTGCCGCCTGGCTAGGGGAAGCCAGACTGTACCTGGCTCATCACGGAGCGGATTTCGCAGAGGGAAACAGCTGATCGTCAGACCATGGGTGGAAGCAGGAAATGGAGCGGGATAAGCCGGGATGACATTTATATCTCGGAGGACCTGTCATGGACTATGAATGCTAACATGCTTGTGAAGGCACAGAAGAGGCTGTACTTCCTGAGAATGCTCAGGAAGATAAATCTATCTCAGCATCTACTTCTGTCCTACTATCACAGCACCAGTGAGAGTGTCCTGACATACGGCATTCTTGCATGGTATGGGAGCAGCTCTGTAGCGGACAAAAAAGCTGTACAGAGAACCATTAAAACTGCCCAGAATATCATCAGGCTCCAGCTACCAGCCCTGGATGACATCTTCGAATCTCGCTGTTTGAGAAAGTTGCATAACATTCTCAGAGACTCTTCCCATCCTGTTTAAAATCTTTTTGGACTGTTGCCTTCTGGCAGAAGATACAGAACAATTAAAACTCGGACCACACGTTTTCTGAATAGTTTTTATGCCAGAGCTATAATTGCACTCAACCATGAACTAAAGGGCCACCATCAGTGAGCTGTTGGACAGTATTACTTTTTTTTTTTTTAAATTTGATTTATATGCCGCTCTTCTCCGGAGATTCAGGGCGGCTTACAATGAGTTAAGCAATAGCCTTCATACTTTTTGTATATTTATACAAAGTCAGCTTATTGCCCCCACAAACTGGGTCCTCAATTTACCTACCTTAGAAACGATGGAAGGCTGAGTCAACCTTGAGCCTGGTGAGATTCGAACTTACAGTAATTGCAGACAGCTGGTGTTAATCACAATGTTATCAGTCTGCTGAGCCACCAACTTGGTCTGTTGTGTGGATGTTTGGGTGGTTTAGGGGTGGGGAATTGTGGTGGGTGGGAGTGTGTTTGGGGATTATTATGTGCGTTGGACCTGGTCTTTGGGTGTTAAGTGAATTTCGTTGTATGAGTATACTGTGTATACACGTACAATGACAATAAAGTTATTTATTTATTTAGGGGTGTGGCCAGCCTGCAGCAGCTGTATTGACAGCAGATAGTCAGTAAGAGGGGAGGGGTGTACACACAAGGGAGGTGGAGCACAATATAAGTGGTGGGTGAACTAACTAACGGTAGCACAAACTTTCATTCCTTTTGGATGGTTGCTTCGTGGCGGGTCCGCGTTTCCAGATAAACAATTCTAACATCAACCTGTGTTGCTGGCGTTTCTTACGCGGGACACGGGAACGTGACAGGAACTATGAAACAGGGTCATGTCACATTTTTCAGTGCCGTTCTAACTTCGAACGGCCACTAAACAAACCGTTGTAAGTCAAGGGCTTCCCATGTGATATTTTTAACCACTGAGTTCCGAACAGCTTTGAAGATGGCATCTTCAAACTGATTTTCATGTATGGTTAAAAATTCCCACCTGTAAAATGGGAAATGTAGCATCCGTTATTCCCACTTCATGGAAAATGGTCACCATCTGACTTCCGCTCCAGACTTTACTTGAGGTCTCGTAACCGCTCTGGATCAGCTGACCACAGGCACGTCTTAACCAACTGCAAAACAACAGGAAATAATTTGCGTTTATTTTTGTTAACAGGGAACCTTTAATTGGTCCTCCCACTTATGACCGCCGCAGCCTAAAAATGGTCACGTGATCAAAATTTGGACGCTTGGCAACTGGCGTGAATTTATTATTTTATTTTTATTTATTTATTTATTTATTTAAATTTCTATACTGCCCTACTCCCGAAGGACTCAGGGCGGTGAACAGCCAGAGGATAAAACACATAAATACAAAAATTTAAAATAGAATAAAAATGAATTAAATAATTTGGCTGAATTTAAAATACCCCATAATTTAAAAACAAATTAAAAATTTACATTTAAAAAGGGGAGAGGATTTAGGCCAGGCCAGCTTGATGAAATAAAAAAGTCTTAAGCGCGTGACGGAAGGTGCGCAGATCCGGGATCCTCCGTATCTCCGGGGGGAGCTCGTTCCAGATCGTAGGTGCCCCCACAGAGAAGGCTCTCCCCTAGGGGCCGTCAGTTTATGGTTTCATCTCCTTTTTATGACCCCATAATCCCTTGCAGGGTGGATTTCAGATGCAGAATATGAATGTGTGCAGTCAGTGGCAATCACGGGAAAGAGGGTTTTTTTTTTAAAAAAAGTAAAGATGTTGATTGGAAGTGCATGATCAAAAGCCCGCCCCTTTTTATAGGTGGGGCAACCCATGTTTAAAAAGAGGGCGGCCCTTCATTCATAGGACTGAGGCCACCATCTTTTTTTTCCTCTCTAATCCTGTCCAATAATCATTTCCTTTTAATGACCTCATAATCCCTTGTGGGGTGGAGTCTGGGCAACTGAATGGAGCAGAGTGTTTACTGACCGGATGCCCTTCCTGTTTCCAATGCAGAGTTATATTCAGCAGATATATTCTCATTGTGCCCAGAGAGAGAAATATCTGCCTCTACCTAGGATCGAACTCACAGCCTCCTGATTGTGTGGCAAGAGCTCCGCCTCTAGGCCACCGCACAACTCGTATTTATTATGGTTTATTATTATGCATTTATTATGGTTGCAGGGTCTCGACGTCATGTAATCGCCATTTGCAACTGGCTTCCGACAAGCAAAGTCAATGAGGACGGATGCCAGAATCCCTTAACATGTGTGTGATTGCCTCACAGCCATGGGTAGCGATTCACTTACCGACTGCAGCAAACAAGGTCATAAAATTGGGTGTGACCCATTTAACAACCACCTCACTTAGCGACAGAAGTTCCATTCCCACCCAATTGTGGTCGTAAGTCCAGGATGACCTTTAATAATAGTACTAATTTGTAATACCTTACAAAGTTCAGTGAGATTTGAAGTAAATTTCCACTGCGGTGTGAACCACTCAAGCCACTGTTAGAAGTCACAGGTCTTGTATAAAAAGATGCTTAAAAAAATAAACAGGGAAAGAGAACCCAAATCTATGGTCCCTCAAAGCTTTTAAGTTAAACAGCTGAAATACTTCTCATTTAAAAGTACAGGTAGTCCTCAGCTTACGACCACAATTGAGCCCAAAATTTATGTTGCCCCATTCTGGGAACTTGGGGTCCGATTTAAAAGATGTGTGCAATGATTAATAGGTGAAGGAACCCTCTCTCTTTTTGAGTCACCGAAAGAGTAAAGTAGGTGTAAACTCTCTGTCAGAATATTCATGAACTGGCAGAGACATGGTAACAAGGTCAGCCAATGAATAGGCATAACAACGGGATCAGCCAATGAGGGCTGTTTAGAAACAGAAACTTAAGCAGGGAGCCAGGGCGTGGCTTAGCAAACAAGTATGGTCTAGTCCAGTGGTCCCCAACCTTTTTATCGCCGTGGCCCGCTGAGCGTGCGCAGGGGTGGGGGCATGGCCCAGGAGCTTTTGCGCACGGCCCATTGCGCACGGCCCAGGAGCCTTTGCGCTGCAGCGTTCATGTCCCCCGGCCGCTGCGCGGCCCGGTGCCAGGTACTCCACGGCCCGGCACCGGTCCGCGGACCGGGGGTTGGGGACCACTGGTCTAGTCTGTCTGCTGAATCGAAACTGGAAACTGTTTTCTCTGCTGCCTGTGTTTTTTGCCTGTAACAACTACCACGTTGGAAGAATCAGCTATTGGTACTGTACATTTACTTCATGTGTTATTATGTATATAAAGAAGTTAATGAATCCTGCTGCATCAGTCTGCCTGTGTGATTTCTGGATTTAATTTCTGCAACAAACTCTGACACTCTCGCACACATGCAACAACTACCCAAAACAAAATTGCCTACCACAAAGCACTTTGGTCAAACACTTGATACAACATAAATTCATTTTTAAAGCATGCAATGTGAAAGGGATCCAAAGCCATCCAATTCAGAGCCTGGATAGCTCTGCAGACAAAGGCACTGTAATTTAACACCAGCTGTCTGCAATTAAAGTAAGTTCGAATCTTGCCAGGCTCAAGGTTGACTCAGCCTTCCATCCTTTCTAAGGTAGATAAATTGAGGACCCAGTTTGTGGGGGCAATAAGCTGACTTTGTATAAAATATACAAAAGTATGAAGGCTATTGCTTAACGCACTGTAAGCCGCCCTGAGTCTCCAGAGAAGGGCGGCATGTAAATCAAATTTAAAAAAAAAAGTCAAATGCTTTGTCCAGGGGGCGTGACAGCTCAGTGGTTAAAGATCCGGAACTTGTCACCTGGAAAGCAGTTTTGGTCACCACACTACAAAAAAGATGTTGAGACTCTAGAAAGAGTGCAGAGAAGAGCAACCAAGAGGATTAGGGGTCTGGAGGCTAAAACATACAAGGAACGGTTGCAGGAACTGGGTATGTCTAGTCTGATGAAAAGAAGGACCAGGGGTGACATGATAGCAGTCTTCCAATATTTGAGGGGCTGCCACAGAGAGGAAGGGGTCAACCTATTTTCCAAAGCATCTGAAGGCCAGACAAGGAACAATGGATGGAAACTGAACAAGGTGAGAATCAACCTGGAAATAAGGAGACATTTTCTGATAGGGAGAACAATCAACCAATGGATCAGCTTGTCTTCGGAAATTGTGGGAGCTTCATCATTCGAAGTTTTCAAGAAGAGACTGGACTGCCATCTCCATCAGAAATGGTGTAGGGTCTGCTTGGATGGGGAGTTGACCTAGCAGATCTCTTTCAACTCTGTTAATCTGTATCTGTATCTGATGAGGAGCAACTTCATTGCTGCCACCCATTTTACATCTTTTCTCCTGCTTTCTGCTTTTACTACGACAAATTTACGGGATGATCAATCTCAGTTTTCCTGATAAGGTTAAATGCTCGGGGCATTCCAGGTTCAGCTTCATGCTTTTCATCTGCTCAAAAGCTTTTGTAGAGTTGTTGTTTTTTTAACATTCCCAAAGAGCTATGGAAGAATTCCCCATTGTGCTTGAAAAAAATAAAAGTCTTTTTTTCCCCCCCCAAGCAGAGAAAAAGCAGGGATCTCAACAGCAGGAAAACAAAAAAGGAATAAAATCAGCCCAAAAGAAGAAGAAAAAAATTGAAGCACTGGATCTGACCTAAATATTCTTATCAGCAGTTTCCTTCACGCTCATACGGAGAAAGACCCATCGAGATAATGATTGTTGGGAAGAGCAGCTTTCAACTTTCTGATCCTCACTTCAGATAAAAGATGCATTTCAGAGAAACTTGAGGTGGTTTTTTTTTTCTCCCCAACACTGCTAGTCTCTAGGTTCACAAGACCAAGTCTGGAATGCCAGCCTCAGACAAGGCAGTGTGTCTACATCAGAGATATCCAATTTTGGCAAGTAGAAGATTAGTGGACTTCAATTGTTTGTTTATGTTTATGTTTATGTTTTATTAGATTTATAAAGTGCCCTGCTCCCGAACGACTCAGGGCAGTGAACAGACACAAAATAAAATACATGGATACAAAAGTTAAAAAACATAATTAAAACCAGATTAAATAATTTAGCCCGAGACAATTAAAAATCCCAATAATTTAAAACAGATTAAAATTTTGATTTAAAAGAATTTTAAAACAGGGGAGAAAATTAGGCCAGGCCGGCTTGCTGGAATAGGAGAGTCTTAAGAGCACGGCAGAAAGTGCACAGATCCGGGATCCTCCGTATCTCTGGGGGGAGCTCGTTCCAGATAGTGGGTGCCCCCACAGAGAAGGCCCTCCCCCTGGGGGCCGCCAGTCGACATTGTCGGCACCCGGAGGAGCCCCTCTCTATGAGAGCGTACCGGCCGGTGGGAGGCTGCTTGTGGTAGTAGGCGGTCCCGTAAATAACCAGGTCCTAAGCCATGGAGCGCTCTAAAGATGGTGACCAAAACCTTGAAGACCACCGGGAGCCAGTGCAGCTCGCGCAGGAGAGGTGTCACACGGGAGCACCATGTTGCTCCCATAACCACCCGCGCGGCCACACTCTGCGCCAGTTAGAGCCTCCGGGTGCTCTTCAAGGGGAGCCCCATGTAGAGAGCATGGGGCTCTCATGAAGCTCATTTTCACTACCCTGCTCAGTGGTCTTCACTTACTTTGTCAGACTGTAGCACACAGCACGCAAGGGCTGGTGGTCCTTTGGTCTAATGTTGTTGTTCACCATGGCGTCCAGCTCCTCTTGAGCCAGCCTGAGCTGTTCTTCCGTCACGCTGTAGCTGGCTGACTCCCGTGCACAGTCCTCGATATTATGAGCCTCGTCTAAAATCAGCACCTGGTCTTTCAACTCAATTTCCATCTGCAAAGATTGAGATCGATCAGCTTATCAATTAACAAAAGCAGCTCCCTCCTCCACATGCCTTCTTTTTATTTTTTGTCATTTTAAATAAAACTGCCGTCGTGGCCTTGTTATATTTCCATGTTGTGGTTTCAATATTACAGTACTTAATTTAGCACTGATCTACCTGGCTGGGTAATGAAATGTCTGTAATAAAACAACCAAGCACAGAGATCACCCAGGACCTCAAAGTCATCCTCCTTCTCCTCTCCACAAATCCTTCTCCCTTCTAGCACTGATGATGTTACTTAGTTGGGTAATGAAATGTCTGCAAGAAAACAATCAAACTCAGAAACCATCAAGGACCCCATAAGAAACTAACACACTAATACTGACAGGGCAAGCTATTTGTATATAAACAAAGCAAGCACCGCTTCCTTCTATCACTGAGGACGTTACCTAGTTGGGTAACGAAATGTCTGCAAGAAAACAACCAAATTCAGAGAGCACCAAGAATCCCCCATTACTTAATTTACTTTACTTTTCCTGTAAAAAAAAAATTTTTTTTTTCATTAGTTTAACAGCAGTAACTCAGTCACTGTTCCCCCAACCTCTCTCATGAAAAGTTTTTCAACTTCAAAAGCTTGCGACTGAATTGATAGTTATTTCCCTGGACATAATATTCGCCTGTAGCTTCTAAAAACTTGCCCCAAGTATGCTATGGAACAGGGTGGATTTGATTTAAATCGAGTTGATTTAAATCACAATTTAAATCATGATTTAAATCACTAGTATAAAAAGGCTTGATTTAAATCAATTCGATTTAAATCATAATTTTTAAAGAGCAATTGTCATCTCTGCTACTCCTTTGACCCACTGTTGAGTCACTGATAGTCCCAGTGTTGCAGAATATGCTACATAACTAAGCTCCATTTCATGCTGAATAAACTAAATTATTTATGTATCTTAAATAGAAAACTCTTACGATAGATTTTTACCCCAAAAGTTTTTTATTAAAATAAATTCGATAAAAATAAAAAAAATCCGATTTAAATAAAAAAAATCCGATTTAAATAAAAAAAGTCTGATTTTTTTAATTTTTTTAAAAAAATCATTGATTTTTACCCACCCTGCTATGGAAGGACATTTTTTACATGAAAGATATTGCTGAAAGAAAAAAATTGTTTGCCTTGCTGCAAAGGAAGATTTTTACCTACGTGCACGTTAGATGCTTTTAAAGTACAGAACATTTTTTTGTTATTTGCTGCTGCTTACAATGTGACACAAATATAGGCAGTCCTCAACTTACAGCCATTCATTTAGTGACCGGTCAAAGTTACCACGGCACTGAAAAATATGACTTACAACTAGTCCTCACACTTACAACCAATGCAGTGTTCCCAGTCACATGAAAAAAAATTTGGTTGCTTAGCATCCAACCTGTATAGGTAATCCCTGATTTACAATAATTCATTTAGTGACCTTTCATATTTACAACTGCACTGAAAAAAGGGACTTATCACCATTTTTCACACTTACGACCAGCATCCTCATGGTCGCGTGAATTACATTCAGATGCTTGACAACTGACTCATATTTTTTATTATTATTATTATTATTATTATTATTATTATTATTATTATTATTATTATTATTATTATTATTATTATTATTATTATTTCAATTTATATACCGCCCTTCTCCTAGTGGACTCAGGGCGGTGAACAGCTAGAGCTAAAACACATGCAGATACAAAATTTAAAATTGTTAAAAAAATTATATAACTGGCCCAATTTAAAACAATTCAATTTAAAACCCCATGACAATTTAAAACTAAAAAACTAAAAAGACTAAAAAAGGGGGAGGGGGTTCACGCCAGCCCTGCTTGATGGAAAAGAAAAGTTTTCAGGGCACGGCGAAAGACCCGATATCCTTCGTATCTCCGGGGGCAAATCATTCCAGAGGGCAGGAGTTGCCACAGAGGAGGCCCTCCCCCTGGGGGTCGCCAGCCGACATTGCCTGGCTGATGGCACCCTGAGGAGTCCCTCTCTGTGGGCACGTACTGGTCGGTGGGAGGCTATCGGCGGCAGAAGGCGGTCCTGCAAATACCCAGGTCCCATGCCATGGAGCGCTTTAAAGGTGGTAACCAACACCTTGAAGCGCACTCGGAAGACAACTGGAAGCAAATGCAGCTCACGCAGGAGAGGTGTCACATGGGAGCTCCCCCTCGCTCCCATAATCCCCCGCGCGGCCGCATTCTGCACCAGTTGGAGCCTCCGGGTGCTCCTCAAGGGGAGCCCCATGTAGAGAGCATTGCAGTAGTCCATATTTATGATGGTCGTGGTATCCCAGGGTCATGTGTTCACCTTTTGCGACCTTCTGACAAGCAAAGTCAATGGGGGAACCAGATTCACTTAACAACCGTATTACTAATTTAACAACTGCAGTGATTCAGAATTGATCAATCCGGAGCTCTGTTATCGGCTGCAGAGGCCTTTAGGAAAGCCTTGCCGGCTGCAGAAGAAATGGGCCCGTAAGGCAGGTGTCAGGGTGTGTGAGGCCTGGCTGCAACTGTCCAAAGGTAAGTAGGATAGCCCCACCCACCCACCCCCAGCTTAATTTTTACCCATGGACCCTAGAGTGGGAGGTGTCAGGGTTCCAAGTAAGACCCCCAACGAAAGAAAACTCTGGGGCTTGAGTTTCCTCAAAAGTTCCATTTTATGAGAGATGTCATATTGGCACATCTGGGAAAACCCGAATATGAAAGCTTCCAGGTTTTCCACACCCAAAAGAAAGTCCAGGTCCCTGCCCCAGCACCCACATGCCCATCACATTGTCCAATCAACGCACCGTCCCAACTGGCAATGCCTCCCGGTCACACCCCTCCAGGTGCAGGGCAGAGTGGCCTTGACTCTCGGAGAAAAGAATGTTATTTTGACTACATATCTCCCCAGCTCCATACAATCCCCCCTCCCAGTTTCCCACAGCACTATATGTGGTAGGGCTGAAGATCCAATGTCCAAGATGGTTTCCAGTACTGACAGGCAGGGTCTTAATCAGGGCTTATTTTGAGGGATAGGGCTTATATTGGGCGCAAGTGTAAAAATCGAGCTAGAACTTACTTTTGGAGTAGGTCGTATTTTCGGGGGAAACACGGTAGAGAGACCAGTAAAGGAGAATTGTTCTACCAATGGTGTGGCCTCATTTTTTACTGGCTGGGCTCGGAACTGTGACTAACAGATAATCAATACAAGATATTCGTACTTACGCTTTGTCTTATCTGGGAGTCCAAAAGGTAGTTGTAAGGGCAGAACACAATCTCGGCGCACGCCATGAGCTCACGAGCTGCAAAATAGGCACAGGATCGGAATTTCTTTCCCAAGCTTACCAGCTCTTCTAAATCCCAAGCCTGGTGTTTTTTACCCGCAGACGGTATGGAGAGATGCTCAGTAAGCCTGTGGGCTCCATGATAAAAGGAACAAGACACCCCCTGGAAGCAGACAATTGAGGAAGTTTAAAGAACAACCACGCACCTTCGGGTACAAGTGGTCCTCAAATTACAACCATTCCTTTAGTGACTGTTCGAAGTTAGAATGGCACTGAAAAAAAGGGATTAATGACCAGCATCTTCATGTGATCAAAATTCAGGCGCTTGGCAACTGGCATATATTTATGAAGGTTGAAGCTGTTCTGATCTAGGCTTCACCAAATCATGAAACAGACTCCTTGTCCCGGAAAAAAAAAAAAACCTTTTTATTTGGCAAATGTGAATTCCTAGCATTCACATCCAGCAAAGTCCCGGCAAAAAGTCTTTCAAAGGTGAATTGCAACAACAGACCTTATCAGTCCTTGGATAGTTGCCAAGCCGATAGCTTCCAGGCGCAATGCTGTACAATGAAATACTTGGCACACGAACTCAGATAAGCAAATCTTCACACAAATAAACGAACTAATTGTCTCCTGCAAACACCGCTCCCCTTTTGCTCCTATTTATTCCCTATCGGAGGGGCCATTCAGCGTCCCCTTGTGCCTTTACTCCCGAGTCGACCCGTTTCTTAATTGTTTTTTTTTTTTATTTGATTTATATGCCGCCCTTCTCTGGAGACTCAGGGCGGCTTACAATGTGCTCAGCAATAGCCTTCATCCTTTTGTATATTTATACAAAGTCATCTTATTGCCCCCACAACTGGGTCCTCAATTTACCTACCTTAGAAAGGATGGAAGGCTGAGTCAACCTTGAGCCTTGGCGAGATTCGAACCTGCAGTAATTGCAGGCAGCTGGTCTTAATAACCAGCTTAATAACAGGGTGCCTTAGACCACTGTACTACCAAGGCTCCTTCATTGTTCCCTTCTACTGACAGCTCTGCGCATGCGCACATCGGGAACAGGCTCCAGCTGTTCTTCTGCCCCACTTATCTCCGATGTCGAAGGTAGCTGATAACTGTTGGATGGCCCTGGCCCCCTCTCTGCCTCCGATGCAGAGCCCTCATCAGAGCCTTCCCCAGACTCCAGGACTGACCCATGTTCCTCCCTAACCTCCTCACTGTCCGAGTCTGCCGATGGCGGGCCACAACAGCAGCATCCCGGGGTCACACGATCAACATTTGCACCCTTCCCAGCCAGTTTCCGACAAGCAAAAGTCAATAGGGAAGCCAGATTTGCAGTGATTCACTTAACAACTGTGGCAAAAAAGATTGTAAAAAGGGGAGCAACTTTCTTAACTTTCTTGCTTAGGAATGGAAATTCTGGGCTTAATTGTGGTCATAAGTCAAGTATGTCCACCTGAATATTTTATTTCATGAGGATCCGCTGAGTTCAGGATGGATAACTGAAACTGAAGTCATTCTTGGATTAATTCTTCTCTTTGTATAGGAGCTCAAAATGTATTTATTCATTTAGTAAGAGTTTTATCCCACCTTTATTAATTTATAAGTAAGTCAAGGTGGCGAACATATCTAACGTATGTCAGGATACTGCTTATAAACGCTATATGCTTAGAGCTCAAAGCATTGTTAGAGACCCCACACACCTATTTTATGATCTGTTTCTGTTGCTCCCCTCTGGGAGGAGGTTTCGAAGTATTTCTAGCAGGACTCCCAGATTCTGTAACAGCTTTGTTCCTTATGCCGTCCGTATGTACTGTGTGTGTGTGTATGTGATATATATACACACACACACACATTTGAAGTAGACTGTGATGTTTCTCTGTATCGCATATGTGTGTCTATGTGGGTCTATGCATAATGGTTATCCATTGAGAGCTGAATGCAATGCAATTTCATTTCAATGTATGCTGATTAGTGTATATTTAAAGTTACAATAAAGATTCATAATCAGACACCAGGTTCATATTATCATATGTGGTGGACATGCCCAAAGGCAAAAAAACACTGGACTAAAATATCTATTTGGTTAGAAAAAATGATAAAACAACACACAGATTTGAAACCAGAAATATTTCTACTACTATTACCAGAACATTATAATAAAGGGAATAAATATTTAATTTTGCATGTAGTAACAACAAGAATAGTGTTTGTACAACAATGAGAAAATGATGAGTCCAGACAGATGAAAGTGTAATAAAAAAAATATTAGAATGTGTTGAGATGGATAGACTGACACTTAAGATAAAAGAAAAGGAAGAAACAGAATACTTTTTAACATGGGATATATTTTACCAATGGTTGACTAACAAAAACAGAGGTTAGAATTTAAAAAGAATTCAAAGAGATAATAAAATTCTGTATTGAAAATATTGCAAGATGGATAAACTAATTGTTTTATTATTTTACGATTGATATTGATACGTTTATTAAGATTACTAGTATGATTATGGTTCTTGTTGTACCTTTACTTACAATTAATTATGCCCAGACAACATGCTGTTCAGATAGACATGGAATTTTTTATGTTTTTAATGAAAAAATGTACCAATAAAACATATATTTTTTTAAAAAAGATTCGATTTGATTCTTCTATTCTGTTCTAGTCTAGTCTAGCCTCAATAAAGATTCTCTTCTCTTTTCTTCTCTTCTCTTCTAATTTAATGCTCCTTCCTCCTCATCTTTTGCCTCACAAAGTGAAGTCAGTTGGGCTGAGAGTGAGTGACTGACCCAAAATCAGACAGCGAGTTTTCCTAACTAAGTATAAAGTACAATCTGGGTCACCCTAGTGCTAAATCTAATATCTTAATCCAGAGTTTCCTAACTTTAAGACGGGTGGACTTCAACTCCCAGAATTCCCCAGCCAGCCATCTACCCTAACTGCCTTCTATTTACAAGTAGGCCTCAACTCAAGACCACAATTGAGCCCAAAATTTATTTTGCTAAATGAGACATTTGTTAAGTGAGTTTTTGCCTGATTTTACAACTTTTCTTGCCACAATTGTTAAGAGAATCACTGCAGTTAATAAGTTATTAACAAGATTGTTAAGTGAATCTGGCTTCCCCATTGACGTCAGAAGGTCACAAAAGGGGATCACATGAACCCAGGACACTGCAAGCGTCATAAATATGAATCCGTTGCCAAGCATCCAAATTTTGATCATGTGACCAGGGGGATGCAGCAACAGTTGCATGAAAAACGGTCAACAAATCACCTTTTTCAATGTCATTGTAATTTCGAAGGGTCACTAACCCTAACCCTTTGTCTGAAATAGTACAGCTAGTCCTCGACTTACAACAGTTCATTTAGTGACCCTTTGAAGTTACAACGGCACTGAAAAAGCCAACTTAGACCATTTTTCACATTTATGATCATTGGTCACGTGATTTACATTCGGAAGTTTGACAGCTGGTTCATATTGATGACGGTTGCAGTGTCCCGGGTCATGTGATCCCCTTTTGTGACTTGGCAAGCAAAGTCAAGGGGGAAACCAGATTCACTTAACAACCGTGTGACTAATTTAACAATTTTAGAGATTCACTTAACAAATATGACAAGAAAAATCGTAAAATGGGGCAACACACACTTAACGAATGTGTCACTTAGCAACAAACATTCTGGGCTCAATTGTGGTCGTAACTCGAGGATTACCTGTATCTGGTCTCCCTGCTTCAGCAGGGGGTTGGACTAGAAGACCTCCAAGATCCCTTCCAATTGTGTTATTCTGAAACCACTCACCTCTTTTCCTTCCAGCAACTCTGCACATTTTTCATTCTTGTTGCTGCCTCGGGAGATCCTCGGATGGACGCAGGAATACTCCCTACTTGACAGAATGGTCATGCGAACGCTTGAATAGCCCGTCCTGTGCAGCTCCTTCACAATCTGAGCTATTTGCTTGTGAGTCCGGGTGCCAAAAAATATTTTGGGGATGGCTGGCTTCCCTTTCGTTCTCCTTCTTGGCCTCAGCAGCATTTTTGGCGTTTTGCTCGATGGCGGAGCAGGAACACGTCGTGCAGGGACTGGAAGGCTGTAACTAGGGAAAAACAAAATCCCATTTAAAGGTATTAATTTGGCAATCTTTTTCCCCTTCTAGAAAAAGTTCCTTTTCATCTGATTGCAAACTTTCAAAGAGGAATTAAAATTTCAATTCGACATTTCATTACGTATCAAATGGGGTTTTTTTTTGTTCCATTTAGTTATGTCCAGTTTTTGAAGTCTGCCTTGTCAGTATATTCATGAACTGGAATAGGGCATAGCAACAGATCAGCCAATGGGGGACTGTTTGGTAACTGAAACATAGTATTTGTTGTATGGGGACATAAGAGACAGTTTGGAGCCTGGGCGTGGCTTAACTGTTCCGTATATAAACTTGAGGGCACTAGCTTCTCTCTCTCCATTTTGCCTTCTCCATTTTGTGCTGTATTTGTACTTGCTAGTCCTCTTCTCTACAACGTGGAAAAACCTACAAGGGCATCGTAGGCCTTGTGTGTTGTTATGTATATAAAGAAGTTTTGAATCCTGCTGAATTGTCTGATTGTGTGTGCTGCAACTAACTCTGACATGCCTGGATAAAGGTTTTTCAGAAGTGGGTTGCCATTGCTTCTATCCTACGGCTGAGAGAAAGTGGCTGGCCCAAGTTACCCATCCGGCTTTCATGGTTTAAGATGGGACCGGAATTCTTTGTCTCCTGGTAATTGGCCCAAAGTCACCCAACCAGCTTTCATGGCTAAGATAGGACTAGAACTCACTGTCTCCTGGTGACTGGCTCAAGTTATCCAGCCAGGTTTCACGCCTAAGGCGGGACTACAACTCTCCATCTCTTGGTGATTGGCCCAAAGTCACCCAACCAGCTTTCATGGCAAAGATAGGACTAGAACTCACTGTCTCCTGGTGACTGGCTCAAGTTATCCAGCCAGGTTTCACGCCTAAGGCGGGACTACAACTCTCCATCTCTTGGTGATTGGCCCAAAGTCACCCAACCAGCTTTCATGGCAAAGATAGGACTAGAACTCACTGTCTCCTGGTGACTGGCTCAAGTTATCCAGCCAGGTTTCACGCCTAAGGCGGGACTACAACTCTCCATCTCTTGGTGATTGGCCCAAAGTCACCCAACCAGCTTTCATGGCAAAGATAGGACTAGAACTCACTGTCTCCTGGTGACTGACTCAAGTTATCCAGCCAGGTTTCATGCCTAAGGCGGGACTACAACTCTCCATCTCTTGGTGATTGGCCCAAAGTCACCCAACCAGCTTTCATGGCAAAGATAGGACTAGAACTCACTGTCTCCTGGTGACTGGCTCAAGTTATCCAGCCAGGTTTCATGCCTAAGGCGGGACTACAACTCTCCATCTCTTGGTGATTGGCCCAAAGTCACCCAACCAGCTTTCATGGCAAAGATAGGACTAGAACTCACTGTCTCCTGGTGACTGGCTCAAGTTATCCAGCCAGGTTTCATGCCTAAGGCGGGACTACAACTCTCCATCTCTTGGTGATTGGCCCAAAGTCACCCAACCAGCTTTCATGGCAAAGATAGGACTAGAACTCACTGTCCCTGGTGACTGGCTCAAGTTATCCAGCCAGGTTTCATGCCTAAGGCGGGACTACAACTCTCCATCTCTTGGTGATTGGCCAAAGTCACCCAACCAGCTTTCATGGCAAAGATAGGACTAGAACTCACTGTCTCCTGGTGACTGGCTCAAGTTATCCAGCCAGGTTTCATGCCTAAGCGGGACTACAACTCTCCATCTCTTGGTGATTGGCCCAAAGTCACCCAACCAGCTTTCATGGCAAAGATAGGACTAGAACTCACTGTCTCCTGGTGACTGGCTCAAGTTATCCAGCCAGGTTTCATGCCTAAGGCGGGACTACAACTCTCCATCTCTTGGTGATTGGCCCAAAGTCACCCAACCAGCTTTCATGGCAAAGATAGGACTAGAACTCACTGTCTCCTGGTGACTGGCTCAAGTTATCCAGCCAGGTTTCATGCCTAAGGCGGGACTACAACTCTCCATCTCTTGGTGATTGGCCCAAAGTCACCCAACCAGCTTTCATGGCAAAGATAGGACTAGAACTCACTGTCTCCTGGTGACTGACTCAAAGTTATCCAGCCAGTCTTCATGCCTAAGGCGGGATTAGAACTCACTTTTTCCTGGTTTCGAGCCTGATGCCTTAACCACTATACCAAACTGGTTCTGTGATTGTTACAAAAATAATACCAATCAAATAAAGATGCTGTACCATCTGTTCTCATTTATAACCCTTCACTTTATTTCTTTTTAATTCTGATAAAGAAAACATCACTTGGGAAAATAAATAAGTTCTCTTATCATTGCCTAATAACCTACATTTTTATTGAACTGAACACCTGTGGGAATATAAAAATTTACTCTCCTTTACCTAGCATTGTCTATTAACCTGCATTTCTGACAATGAGTACCACATTTCAGAGAGCACAAAAATCTCCAAACAAAACAGCACATTACATAGCCAACGCATCTTAAGATGCTTTTATTTCAATTTCACAGTCACTCCGCTTAGAATCAAACAACATGGACAACAGAGTAACACTGAAATAAATGCTGCTAAAAATGAATGAATATAAGAAACAAAGTTCAGAATGCAGGAAGTTACAAACCAGCAAAGCATCAATTTTCAGCAACAGCGGTTTGAGAGATCTTCACTTCATTTTTAACGAGCAAAATTAAATTACCAAAACAGAAATGGGCCAGAGAGTTATAGCTGAAGCAGCTCAAGAAATGTTGGATAAAATGCTGAATGTGTTAAAACAAATCTAAGCACATTTTCCTAGCTATAAAAACTACTGAATGCAGAGCCCTGAACAGACGATTGCAATGTTAAATACTTATTTCAAAGAACATTTATAAGAAAGCTTATAAATAACAGAATTCGGAAACCTTAACAGCAGCTTCTTCAAGTGTGGAATTTTGATTTTTCTCTGGAGAAGTCAATTGATTGCACAATTAGCAATTGAGCAGTTCATTTTTATTTGTTTAATTTATATCCCACCGTTATTATTTTTATGAGCAACTCAAGGCAGCAAATATATCAAATGCTCCTTCTTCCTCCTATTTTCCCCACAATAACAACCCTGTGAGGCAGTGGTGGTATTCAGCCAGTTCTATCCGGTTCGGGTGAATCAGTAGCGGCGGCTGCGGGAGGCTCCGCCCACTCACCAGGATGTCATTTGACCGTTTTTGACCCTCTGTGTATGCCTGGAGGTGGCGCGTGCGCTCACACTTGCGAACCAGTAGTGAAGGTAAGTGAATACCACCCCTGATATGAGGTGAGTTGGGCTGAGAGAGAGGGACTGGACCAAAGTCACGCAGCTGGCTTTCACAGCTAAGGCAGGACTAGAACTCTCAGTCTCCTAGTGATTGGTCACTCAGCCAGTTTTCATGTCTAAGGCGGGTCTAGAACTCTGAGTCTCCTGGTAATTGGCGATCTCTCTCTCTCTCTCTCTCTCTCTCTCTCTCTCTCTCTCTCTCTCTCTCCCTCCCTCCCTCCCTCCCTCTCCTTCTCATCTCTCCCCCCTCCCTCCCTCTTGTGGTCGTAAGTCGAGGACTACCTGAAATTTGACTGTGGAACCAATGACCCACAGAGGCGACAGGTCCTTGGCTGAACATTGTAAATCAGAAGGTAAACAGCCATCTGTCAAGTCTGCTTTAATTTCGATTCCTGCCCTGAGTTGGTGACTGATCTCCAGGTCTAAATGGTTCCTTCCATGACTTAAGACTTAGAATAACTTTATTGTCACTTTGAATGTACACTAATCAGCACACATGAAAATGAAATCCTGTTGCCTACAGCTCTCAAAGGGTCACCACTTTTGTGGCCCACCAGCAGCCAGCAGAGCTAGCAGCAGATTCGGACAGTGAGGAGGTTGGGGAGGAACATGGGCCAGTCCTGTAGTCTGGGGAAGGCTCGGACGATGGCTCTGAGTCGGAGGCAGAGAGGGGGGCCAAGGCCCTCTGGTAGTTCTTTGCTGCCTTTGGAGTCTCAGGAGTCTGACATCAGGGGGCAGAAGAACAGTGGGAGCCTGTCCCCAGTGTGCGCATGCGCAGAGCTGCCAGAAGACAAGAACAATTAAGAAAACAGGGTCAACTCAGGAGTAAGGCTTGGAGATGATTGGCCCCTCCCATAAGACATAAAAGAGGAGCGAACGGGACGTGAGCTTTTGCAGGAAGTAATTAGTTCATCTGGTCGATTAAAGCTTTGGAAAAGTTCTTTTGACTCTGTCCTAAATTTGGCCTTGCCCTGGATGTGGCGATTTGTTCTCTGGCAGCATTCCAAGGGAGATAAGGTGGGTGTTTGTAAACATTCCCCTGAAAGACTGTTTGAGAAGCCTTTCGGACTGTGAAGGACAATACTTCACAGCCATATGAATAAAAGAGGTTTGCCGGGACTAAGATTGTGCTGTATACTTTCTAAGGAAGCCTAGGTCAAAACAACCACCTCCAATATACACTACATAAACAGGACAAAATAAATAAATAAATACAAAATTATGTGTATATCCACATATATTATATTATGACACAGAGAAACAACACACTCTACTTCAGATGTGTACATGTACATAGCGAGAAAAACGAATCTTACGAGTTTATCAGACGGACGGCCTAGGGAACAAAGCGGTTACAGAATCTGGAAGTCCTGCTAGAAATACTTTGAAACCTCCTCCCAGAGGGGAGCAACAAAAACAGACTGTGAAGTGGGTGTGTGTGGGTCTCTTAACAATGCTTTGAGCTCTAAGCGCATAGCGCTTATATACGCAGTATCCTGAATGACAGGAAGCGAGCTTCCTCTAATCTTCTCGGCTATCCTCACCACTCTCTGTAGGGACTTTCTATTTGACGCACTGCGGCCACCAAAACAAACAGAGATACAATTGGTTATAACGCTCTCAATCATGCCTCTGTAATAAGTGGCCAGGACAGAAGAAGAAAGATGTGCTCTCCTCATCTGATGCAGGAATTGCAAATGCTGGTTTGCATGCTTCACTAAGGATGACGT